TGACAAGCCTCATCCATTGGTTTATTATTTACTTACTTACGCTGGCTGAGCACACACTCAAATGTTTCCGGAACATCCGCCATTTTCCTTAAGGGATGTGTAGGATTCAGCTCACTATCGGAAGGATTTTGTTTTTTCAATTCGCACAAATTACCTACAATGTTCGGATTTTAAAGAGTTTGGGGAGGCTTTGAAAGTGAAATCACAGCAAGAGCCCTGGTGACATAGTGGTTATACATTGAGCTGCTAACCACAAAGTCAGCCGTTCAAAAACCAGCAGCCGCTCCAAGGGGGAAAACGAAGGCTTTCTACTCCCGTACACAGTTACAGTCTTGGAAACTCCTAGGGGCAGTTCGACCCGGTCCTGTAGAGTCTCCATGAGCCAGATCGGCTCAGCAGCACTGCATTTACAGGGTGAATGTTCCCCATTCCCATCCGGCTGCACTGAGAAGATGGAAAGGTGGTGAGTTCTAGTCATGTCTTCGTCTTCACCCTGCTGGCCTGGTAGTATGTTTTATATTTTTCCTTATACAGACTACGGTATACAGACTACTTATACAGACTACAGCCTACTGTGTGACGGGATCACAGTTGATCATTTCAGCCCTCCAGGTCAAAGATGGCCTTTGCTGAGCTGGCCTGTGTCCGTGAAGGGAGCAGAGAGAGAAGACGATGTCTAAGTCACACGGTTTGTTATCGTGGTTGTTGTTAGATGTCCTCGAGTCGATTTGGACTCAGGGTGACTCTGTGCACCCCGGAACGAAACACGGCCTGGTCCTGCGCCACCCTCACAATCGTAGTCTAACCCCTCGTGGCAGCCAGGGTGTCAGTCCTTCTTGTCAAGGGTGGCTCTCCTTTTCGCTGCCCCTCTCCTTCATGAAACGCGATGTCCTTTTCCAGGGACGAGTCTCCCCTGATAACATGCCCAATGGGCACGCCATGAAGTCTCACCATTCTTGCACCGAAGCAGTGTTTGGGCTGTACTTCTCCCACGAGAGATGTGTTTATTCGTTCGGCAGTCCGTGGTACTTTCAACTCCAGACTGTCATTCGAGTGCATCAACTCTTCCGTGGCTTCCTTATTCAATGTCCAGCTTTCATATGCGCTCATCTACCAGTAACCAAAACAATAAAGACAAAACCTCACTTTAGAGAAAAACACTTAGAGACATTTTCTAATGCTTGACAGACATCGCCATAGTAAAGATGTGGGGTATGTGGCTAAGACGCCCCCCCTCCCCCTCTTTTCTGCTGCAGGCAAAAAGATACTGTGAGATAAAATTTAGATAACATTGTTTGTGACATCCAGGTAACATTACCGATTGCAGAGCTAAAAATGCCATGCCCTCCCCCAGTTCATACATACACTCAAACATGGACTTAAGACACTGACATGTCGGGAATGTTCCATATGTGGGAACAATTGTTCTTTGTTTCTCATTGATAGCTTGGACATATCCTCCGGAGACTGTGGGAGGCTCCCAGGGGCCCTGCTGGGCACGGCCCATGTGAACAGTGAGAACTTGACAGTTGGCCATTGGAAACAGGCCAAACAAGCACCCGTGCCTTGGCCACCACCATGTCAAATCATTGGGTCACTGTAGGATGGCTTTGTTTTCCCCCCTTTCTCCTTTGCCTCTGAGAGGAGAAGAGAGACAGGGAGATGCGGGGGTGAGGGTGTCTTATTATGAGTGGAGAGATCCTCCCTCGGGGCTTGCCCTGGTTCCAGCCCAGGACAGGAAGGTCATTTGTACGATTATGTGGTTTACCGAGAATGTGAAGAGATTTACGGAATCACTGTTGTTCACGATAATTGTAAAAAGCCTTTTGTAAAAAAAAAAAAATGAATAAATTCAGAGGTGCCTGCTTTGCCGTCTGGTCAGTGAAAGCTTTTGGAAGATGATCTGTGGACACCTTTGGCCCTGACTTAGGAGGGAGAGATGTGAGGAATGCATTGGCTCGTCTTTAAGAGCTGCCTTGACGGAGACGAGTGAGATAGCACCTTCCTCTGCTCACACATCCTCATTCCCTAGCACCTTCCCAGCCGAAAGGGTGAGAAGGAGGTGAAGTCAGCTGGAGGCCGATGTATCACTCCTGAAACAAAATATGCAAACAAACCCCCAAGGCTGCTTTCATCTGATGTAAGAATTCCGTGGGGCTATGCATTTCTTCAGTATTTGAAGATGCCTCCAAGCTGTAGATAAAGTTTTCAGCACTTTCTTCCTCCAAAGTGAGGAGCCAAGTTCTTCTTCATTGTCTATTCCTGGTCTGAAATCTCCCCCTGAAACCTGCTCACGTTGGGTGACCCTGCTGCCTTTTGAAATGCCAGTAACACAGCTCCAGCATCACCACAACCCGCAAGCCACCACACTATGACAATCTGATGGACCAAATGAGGAAGGCCTTCAACAAGAGGAATGGCCACCGTGGCTGCAACAATGGAGTCAGGCACAGGAACAACTGTGAGGATGGGGCAGGACCGGGCAGGGTTTCATTCTGTTGTGCACAGGGTCGCTGTGGGTCGAAGCCAACTCAATCACACCTAAGGACAACATCTTCTATACCACCAATATGACTCAACAGAGAAAACAGAAGTTTCCGGTTTTCCTAAGGATAATTTATTTGGGGGAGAAAAGGAAAGAATTCATGTTGAACTTGAGCAGGGAATTTCCATTGAATGTAAGAACTTGTAGGGGTTTGGTTTGGTTTGTGTGTTTGGTAAATTCAGTTAAACATCCCCCCACCCCCAAAAATATAAATAAGTAAAATAAATGAATAACCTCACTACCGTCATCAATACTGACCCTATAGGACTGACCCTATAGAACTGCCCCTGTGAGTTTCCATGACTGTAACTTTTTGGAAGATGATAGGAGTATGATGATAGGAAGATGATAGGAGTAAAGGCCCTACCTTTCTCCCGAGGAGCGACTAATGGTTTGGAACTGCCAGCCTTGAGGATCACAGCCCAGTGCATAACCACTGCACCAGCAGGTCTTTGATAATTCAATCTGATGCTCTGAAACATGACAGCTACCCTTCAAGCACTCTTGTTCCATGTCCTCTTAGACTCTAGGTCCTGTAAAACCAGAAGGTCTGGTGACAAAGGACTGTTTGCCTGACTCTGGAGGAATACAACCTTTATCTCTCTAGTGGTTGTTTCTAAAATAAGTTCATGAATAAGGGGTGCATCATTAACAGGACGCTAGAGGTGTTTCAAAATAAGGTAGGTTTGTGTCTTTTTATTTTTGTTTGTTTTTAACTCTGCTCACAAATTATCTCTAATCAGCTAGGCATGCTGCCCCAGTCTTCTGACTGCTCTCTCCCCAGGTAAACTGTTGGTCACTAGGGAACACCGGGAGCAATGGTTCAACAAAGAGCAACTCTCAGCCTCCAAGAGAGTAGCACGGCTCCTGGGGTTCCCCAGACCATGCGTCTTCATGGAAGCAGACAGCCCAATCTCTCTGTCTTGGAGCTGCTGGTGGGTTTGAGCCACCAATGTGAGGGTTAGCTGCCCAATGTTACCTCAGAGGCCCTGGCTGAGGAGTGGTTCTGTTAGCCCCAGTGTCATTGGATCAGCAGTGTCATTGCTAATAGTAGTCATCCAGCTAGAAACATTGCCCCATCCTGTACCACCCTCGTGATCATTCACTGGTACATTTGAATCTGCTAGTAGGGTTCTTGTGTGAAGTCATCTTATTGGCAATTTTCCTCCTTTTTTCCTCATCCTCTACTTTGCCACACAAAACGATGGTATCATTTTCTAGTGATTTACCTTTCTTGATAGTGTGTCTAAAAGAAGCAAGTTGTAAGTCTCACCAGTCTCACTTCTAAGGAGCACTCTGGCTGTGTTTCTTCTAAGAGTGATTTGTTGGTCCATTGACAGTGCACAGTAGATTCTAAGTTTTTTCACCAACATGAATCATAACAGAGTAACTGCCAATAATGGAAGGAAATGCAGAGTCCCGAAGTACAAGCTGAGTCTGGAATGACCGAGTCTCAACATTTTCATTCGTGTAAATCCATGTAAATGCGTTTAAACTCATTGGTAGGTGATTATGTCCACCATTTCTCCAGTGGATCCTCAGTTGGCATTGAATACCTCCCAAGACCCTGCGGGTAAAATGCAACATACAAGCAAGGCCTGATTTCTCTAAAGTCTTCCATACTGGTGACCCACTACAGGTGCTAAACCAAATCCACTGGATTCCGCTCAAAATTAAAGGAATAGAACATGTCATCATGCAAGTAGCTGTGCCTTTGCTTTGGAAGGAGCCCACCGTAGGAGAGGATGGAATGAGCAGCCAAGCAAAACTCCAAAACGCTCAGCCTCAGGGGTCCCTTCATTTGCGTTCCAGCTATCTAACCCGCTCAGCTTCCTGGAAGTACATTCAAAACCATTTATAACTCACCCAGGGGACAAACTAACTCTTCTGCTTCACAAAAAGGATGCTCTGTTCTCTTCTTAAGGGTTTTATTCTGTGCTTGTTTGTTTGCTTGTTTTCTCAGCAAAGGCATTTGGGCCTGTGCACTTTAGCAATCTATCCTTTAAAGAAATTCTGTCTTATTAACAGGGTCGGAGGTGGCGCAGTGGTAGAATGCTTGCCTATGAGTCAGACCTGGGTTCCCTTCCCATCCAGAATAGTTCCTTCACAGCCACGACTTGTCTATCCGTGGAGGCTAGTGGTGTTGCTGGGATGCTGAACAGGTTTCAGTGGCTTCTAAATTAAGGTAGACTAGGAAGAGAGACCTGACAATCATCTGAAAGTCCAGTCAATGAACACAAAGGGTCATTCCAAACCCGGTGGTGGGAATGGTGCAGGATCAGGCAGTGTGCATGGGTTCTTGGGATGGCCTCACAGCTACTAACAATCACAGCATCTTAGACACACACGAAAAATAGTAACCATGATCAATAGAGCCACGAAGATGAATAATCTAGTAAGATGTGGGCATGGGAAAATCAAGTAACCGGAATGGATCTTGCTCTGTTATCCACAGAACCAACGTTCTACTTCAGTGCTGTGGAGTACTCAGTGGACGAGCATGCCGGCTCCGTGGAGGTGCAAGTGTGGAGAGCAGGCACCGACCTGTCCAGGCCGTCCAGCGTCACCGTGCGGTCTCGGAAGACAGACCCTCCCTCGGCTGATGGTGAGCCCTCGTGCCAGCCCCACTGCTAAGGAGGCTGTACTTCTTCCAACACAGATGTCTTCTTTGTTCTGGCAGTCCCTGGGAGATGAAGGAGTCCTTGCCTACAGTGTAATTCGAAGGCATCCATTTGTCTTTGGTCTATCTTCCCTAGTGTCCAGTTCGCACACACTGAGGAGGTAACTGAGAGCATCGTGGCCTGGGTCAGGTGCACTTTGTAGCAGATTTGCCCAAATGTCATCCGTCATTTGGATGGCTGCTGCTCCCATGGACGATGAGTGTGGGCTCAAGTTTAATGAAATCCTGGACAACTGCAATCTTTTCTCATCCTGAGCTTGCTGTTAAGCCCAGTGGTGAGGACTGTTGTGTTGTGTTGTTAAGTGACCAATTCTGGTTTGCTTTGGCCCTACCTTCGATGCTTTCCTAGCTCTTTGTCTCCCAAAACATGTCCCATCTCTACACTAGATGTGTCTCCTTCTTGTTGTCATTACCATTTCCCTAATAAGCCCCATGGAGAAGGGAAGATGAAGAGCAGAGACAATATCAGATCAAACTCAGAACCAAACTCACGACCACGGAATCCCTTCTGACTGAAGGCAACACTAGAGACTGAGTAGGACTGCCCTGTGGGTTTCCAAGACTGACTCCTCACTATAGTAGAAAGCCTCCCCTTTTCCCAGACAGTGTTAGATAGCGTACTATGAAATGGTCAGAGAGAACTATGGAAGTGTATTAACTTTGCTTTGTTATTAATCATAAGACTTCATTTAAATTTTCAATTAATAAAGACATTACATTTTTGTAGCTATCAAAATAATACATGGGGTTGAAAACAGTTGAGAAATCCCAGATAAGGGAGCTATCAGATAGAAGCCAAAGTCAGTAAAGCCATTCCTTATACTCATCATAGACAAAAAAAATCCCATATTGGACCTACCATCTCAGTAATGTACATAACAATGTAGGTATCAATCACGGGCATTTCATTGAAATATAATTTTCTGCAATGTCAAACTGGTCTTGTGAATTTTGAAAAGTAGTTATATATGCAAGCATCCACCAAAAAGGTAGTGGGGGAAAAATTCCCATTATCTTTTATTTCCATTTTTTCACCAAATTTTTAGTTGATATATATATAACTTGTATGTGCAATTATTTTAAATATTTATGTATATATAATTTGTCTATCTTTTAAAATATTTAGTGGCAACTAATAACTGTCTTTTTAATTCTCCTAGCTGGAACAGACTATGTAGGAATCAGTCATAATTTAGATTTTGCACCGGGAGTCAACATGCAGACTGTTCGTGTAATTATTTTGGATGATCTTGGACAACCAGTGCTGGAGGGAATTGAGAAATTCGAACTGGTGCTTCGGATGCCTATGAATGCTGCCCTTGGAGAGCCCAGCAAAGCCACGGTGTGCATAAATGACTCTGTTTCAGATGGTGAGTGTTCATTAACTTAACAATGATAAGTTTGGGTCCATATAAATAATTAGTATTCTGATAAATCGGGATTTATATATCCTTCTTCTACTTTCATTGAGATAGAAGTAGATTGTCTAAAAAGAAAACTATTTGTTTTCTCATTAAGTGACAAAACCCCTTCCCTAAGGGATTGACACTAGTGTTTGTGGCCTGCCTTATGTTACTAATTTTAACTGTGTCTCCAGCAGTCCCTTGCAGATGGCTGGAACCACATGGAGGTTTTCTAGCTTCTTAATGCCAATGGTCTTTTTCCTTCCCAGCAGGAGATCTTTTCTGGTATCTCCTTAAACACAGACACTGCTGAACTTCTTATAAAGGGTACTCAAGTCATGGTTCTGAGACAGTGTAGGCTGTAGGACAGAGGCAGGCTCTTTGGGTTCAAAGGGTTCTTGACCTCTTCTCATCATGGTGACCATGGCCGTGGCTGCATGCGTCTAAGCTTTGCTCAGTGAAGCCAACATGAAATTGGCCCAACACAAGTGTCACCACAAAACGACAGGTGTGTACTCTTAGTTAGCCTTCCCAAGACGGTCTGAGTAAACTACATATCTTAGAGTTGTTAGGTGCTACCAAGTTAGTTCGAACTCGTGGTGGTCCCTGCGTACAATGGAATTGAACGCTGCCCCGTCCTGCACCATCCCCGCAAATGTTTCTCTGCTTGAGCCCATTGACACAGCCCCTGTGTCCAGTCATCTTCTGGAGTCTTCTTCTTTTCATTGACTCTCTGCTTTACTGCACCTGCTGTCCTCCTCCAGAGATGGGTCTCTCTTGATCACATACCCAAAGAAGGTGAGACAAAGTCTAACCCTCCTCCGTTCTCAAGAGCATTTCCACTATACTTCATCCAAGACAGATTTGCTTTGTCTCTCCAGAAGTCCATAGTACACTGAATATTCTTTGTCAACGCCCTAATTCAAAGACATCAGTTCTCTTTTGATCGTCCTTAGTCGTGGAATTAGCTGTACAATATTTAGTATTCTTCTTGATATCAGTAAATTCTGAGGGGAAAACTCAAGGGGTTAGTGGGTAGAGGGGAAAATAGATGGGTGAATGGATGGAGAAATCGATGAATAAACAGACGACTATTTAAACTCCAACTCATCTGGACACTAGGATGGAGCAGAACTGCCCTGTAGAGATTCCAAGGAGTCAGTCTTTTTAGGAGCAAAATGCCACCGTGTTCTCCCACAAGTGGCTGGTAAGTTCAAACTGATGACCTTTTGTTCACAGCTAAGCACTTAACCATGGCATCATCAGGTTATGCATCATCATGCTTGCTTATGCACTCACCACCACCACCACCACCACCACCACTACCACCACGACCACCACCACCACCACCACCACCACCACCACCA